CGTTATTTGAGTAAAATAAGAAAATTTAAAGGTAAATTAATCTGATTTGAAATAAACATTACTTACTTATAGCATAAAAATATGAATCCCAACATTTCTTAACGATATATCTGAATTTTCTCATGACGTTATCGATGTTATAGAGAAGTTACGAGGTGATGTGGGCTACTATGGATGACCAAAATAGACATAATTTTACGAAATGTAAGCGAACGCGTTTTTTTGTGGGGTGGGGGTTAACTAGTAATTTTTAAATATTAACATTTATTCATCAATTATGTAATATTTAGTAAAAAAGTAATTAACAAAAATTAAAAATTACTTTGAAATTTTGAAAGGACTTTTTGCAAACACGTTAAGGATGTGAAACAGAATTGGACATTGAATAGAAATAATTCCAATGCGGCAGATCACTCAAATCACGTGATATTTTCAAGGATTATGTCATAGATTTCTATAGATAGAAATTAGATTTTTTTTTTCACTAGAAATTTATTTTTAAAATATTCGGGCTCAAACGATTGTTATGAGTTTTAAAATTTCGATTCGTAACTATTCACTTAACGATATCATCAAATTGCATGTTTAAAAGCAATTAAGAATTTTTAAACGATTTTTGAGCTATTATATTATTAAAATTAAAATTTTTAAAAAATGAAAAATTCTTATAAAAATACATTATTCATCGAAAAAGTTTTATTTCTTCAGACAATAATGTCTTTATTATAACTTATTTACAGGAGCAAGTAAAAGCTTTTCTAATTAAATAATGTCATAGATTTTTTTTTTTTTTTTGCGTTTCAGAGCAGATTTTTGAGGAAAGAGGTAACTCTTTTACAAAAAAAAACCCTGGTGATTTACTTTCTCAAAAGAGTCCTATTTTTAACTAATAAAAAATCCCGCTCTTAAAAATTTAATTTCTCTAAATTTCATGAAAATATGTAACGGGGGTGGAAACATGTAAGAAAAAAAAATTTTACCAAGATTTTCTAAAAAAAATTTCAAAAATAATTTCATTCATTTCTGAATATTACCTAAAAGTTTCATTAAAATCCAAAAATTATTTGAATTTTGCAAGAATTTCCAAATCAACGTGTGTTTTCCCCGGAAAAAGCGCAAAATAAAACAAACCTTTTTTTCTCTTTTCGACCGCTGTCGTAAAAAAAAACAACATTTTTAACCAAAAAATTGAACGTGCTAAAAAGAAGTAAAAAATTTTTGAAAAAATAATAAAAAAATACTTTGGTCTTTCCTCTTAATAATAACATAAACATTTTGATGACAAAACTTTGTTTTCGTTGAGTTATTGGCCTTTTTTCATCATACTATGCTGCTTCTTTACGCGACCTAATGGAGGTACCTATATAAAATGTATTGCTAGTCATTTTGCTTTAAAAATTTATTATTGGTCATTTTACTATAAAAATGTATTTTTATGCATTCATAGTGTTTTGTTTTGTTTTGCCTGTTCACTATTTGTCCATAACTGAGACTTAAACAGTTGCTAGTGGACCTGAGAGCAACAGCAATAAAGAGATGGTTGCACGCTCCTCAAAACCGCACGACCAGAGGTCTTACTGCCAGATGTAGTTTATCATCATACTCAGGACTATTGTTTATCAAGCAATCATTGCCGATCTCTAGTTATTATAATTAATATAGGTCTGAAAAAAAACAGGTAATTATCATCGGTTTGTCGTCAGGCAAGAACAGCACTTTTTCAGTGGGGTTGAGTGCGAATTCTTTGTCGGTACGCTGTGTTTTTAATCATTTCACCCCATCAACGAAATAAATCCACTAAGACGCAAGGGATTACTGAGTGGAGTGTGAGATGATATGAGAAAAATAAAACATTATTAAGGAGAGAAAACAATAAAGGAACAGAAATGAAGAAGACAAAAGTTGAAGATTGACATTGCATTTAAATATGTTGATTTTCTAAACGTGGCTCAGATGTGGCACAAGGCCGAAAGCTTGGGGCACTCAATGAAGAATGAATTTTTCAGTTGTAATTGATGTAGCTTATTAACTATCACACAACGTCGAGGTGTGCACATTGCATTTAAATGTTATATGAAATCTATGCAACCCATAATCCATATTATTTCATTTACCGAACATTAGAAATAACAAAACATACATCGCATTCATCTGTATGTAATGTCAGTTCTCCTATATGGTATGGAATGAACGCTGGACAATCTCCTCATAAATGAAGCAAGAGAAACGCGGTTCTACAGAAGGCTGTTTGGAATACCATGGACAACGACCATTTTTAAAGAAAGTAGAAATAAAAAGGATACACCTGGAAGAGACAGCTGAAATTTGTAGCTCACATAATGAAGAAAGAGTGTATGGGAATCTGATACTTGCAGGGCAGATTGCAGGCACGTGGGACAGAGGCAAACAACGCATTACCTACGAATCAATGTTGAAGAAAAGAGTTACAGAACAGGTTCTAAGAGAGATAACAAAAATACAAAATTTATTAAGATCTACAAAGGAGATGAAATTGTGGAGAGCCATGAATGCCAAAGCCTTGAATGTAAAGAAGAGATTACCGGAATAGCAGGTTGGCGTGATGATATGTAATGTCCACTTCATTTAGCTCGAGTTTCCCGCTTTTTCAAAGAAACTGGAAATTTTCCTAAAGTGAAGTTTTAGTATTTATTCTTTTATCAAAGAAAAGAGACTCGCTACTCTCTTACATATGGGCTGACCGCTGGTTTACCGATCTAATCTACAATGCAGATGATTATCAAAAGCAATGTAGCAGCTTGCAGGCTCACAAAAAAGCATTAAACTACTTGAAAAAGTTTTGGAATCGAGAACCATCAAGACTGGAAATTCGCAGAACAAATCAATATTCAGAACAGCCAATCAAGAGTCTTCAAGGTCTTTTTGACGTCTGTAAAAAGAATGAGAATGTTCAATTTATATTTATTTTGCTTAACAAAACACATTAATTGTATATTATGCTATACTTATGTTAAATATTTCCCATTATTTTTCTTTATATAGCTATTCGTACTTGTAAATGTAATTTTCTAATTGTATACGTGAGGTTGCAATTTTAGTTTATTTGTAAGTGCGTATGCAATGTTATAGCTATAAACTGTTAACTGCATTAAAATTCTATCCAGTTACATGATTAGTAAATTGAAAAATAAATCTGAAATATTTTAATTTTTTTTTTTTTACCCTTATTGCATATATGGTAAAATGGAATTTTCGGTTTGAGGTGACTTCTTTCAAAAATTAAAACAAATTAATTCCTTTTCGTTACTTTTGATGAGCTAAAGTTCATTGATTTATGACACAGGGACTTAGATTTAAAAATTCATAAACCTAATGTATATATATATATATATATATATATATATATATATATATATATATATATATATATATATATATATATAATATAAAATCGATTCTCCTGTCGGGTTCGACGTATGAGGGTCAAACAGATCAGTTTCAGGAAACTGATAGCCTGACACCGGCACATGAGATTCGATTATAGTGGTGAAGGCTTCGTGCAGGACCATCCACACTTTTTGAAGGGCCGAATACAGTGATCTGATGCACTACGTGCCACAAGGTCCCCAAACAACCCCCTCAAGTTTTGAGTTGTCCTTCTCCTAGACCAGTTGCCATCCGAGGCTATAGAACCCAGTCTGTCCTGCTATTTAACCCATACATATATATATATATATATATATATATATATATATATATATATATATATTGATGAATACGCACACACATACTCTCCATTTTACACGCTCCTTTAGATAGATAGATATAAATAAACCGAGATAGATAGATAGATAGATAGATAGATAGATAGATAGATAGATATAAATGGACTGATAGATCTGTGCAATTCGAACACTCATAAAATATGTATATTTTGCAACACAGAAGTAACAAAATATTTGAAGCATTGAAAGTTAATGCTTTAAACTATTACACTGTACATTTTCTTTGTTGAGAAGTTCCAACATGCGATATGTCTGTTGTTGAATGCACACATGCGCATGCATATAAACACGCATCCATTCGCAAATACACACTCATATCAATATATGTGGTTATATTAGTGAAATTGAAACTTGTGTTGAAATCAATACATATTTCAATTAAAAAATATGCAACAAAATATTTAAATAGTCAGAACAAATATTGATTAATAATTTTGTTTTAGTGCAGACCAGCAAGTACAATTTTGAAGAAGCCTTAATCATTCTGGAAGAATTCATTTTAAAAAAAATAAACTATCGACATGAAAATCAAATTAAGCATTTGACCTGCTCTTCGGTTTCATCGAGCCATTCATTGTTTAATTTAATTGCAATCAAGAACACAAGTGGTCGACAAGTCAGCAATTCATTTCTTTGCGTAAAATACGGGTGGGTATTTTGTTGCTGACTTTGGATAAACAATTTTTCAAGTACAGTAACCTCCTCTTCTTCCCAATGTTATATATTCAGAAACCAACCAAAAGGTGTCTGAAACAGATTAGATTAAGTTGTTTAATTTTTACGAGATCATAAATATTCTTTGGGTCATTTATTCAAATGTAAGTTTTATGGGACAACGATCAAAATGAATTGATAAACGAACATAAGGCGATCTGTACTTTAGTCGAAAGGTCGACCGGGTTTGCTTGTGGATGAAAACGAAAAAATAATTCGTTTCAAGATATATTAAAAAAAAAAGATTGATAGACTGCTATATTTTTACAGCTTATCAACCCTTTGCAAGTTATTTAAAGACAAAATATTTTTAGATTGTAATAATATTTTTTGAGATAATAATGATATTAATGATACAAGTCTGGCTTATTGACCCATAGCTGGAGGGGAAGAAGGTATGAATTCATACATTTCATAATATTATTTGAGAATAGTGGATATAACGAACCCACGGGAATTAAAACACAGTCCTCCGATTAATAATTCCGATCCAATTTGTATTACACCACTCGCAAACCCAAGCTTACTACACCTGTTATTCCCAAGCAGTCATCCATCTAGATACTAACCAGGTTCGACGTTGCTTAACTTCGGTGATCGTACTCAAAACGGGAACTAGTGTTTCAACGTGATATGGTCGTAAGCCCAAAAGATAGAAGGAGGTTAAATATGATAGATTTTGCACTTGTGTTAAAAGATAGATACAATCTACTTTGATTTTAAACGAAAAATCTAGATATAGGTCCAGTTTATACGTGTGTCAAAATGGACCAGTGGGTCCATTGCATGTGAATCAAAACTTCGACTCGTGCCAAAAGTCAGTATCCACTCGGAATTTTGATCCTTTTTGGGATGTCCTAAGTTTCACATAACTCGAAAGTACTTGAACAAAAGAAGATAAACTTCAAGCGGTTTATCCGCAATTTAGATCACAATAACTAACGACTTATTTTCAAATTGGAAAAATACAATACAAAATTAAACAGATATACATGTCGGTTCTTTTGGAATTTTTACCTCGCAACAACGACGAGACGTCAAAATGTACCAAGGTTTCGAGAGCAGTATTAGAAAATATTAATCCTCGACAGCTGACTGGCCATTGACACACGAGGTGCTTAAGAAACGACAAAATACGATCGTCGATCTCTTGTTGTGGCGTGGTCATGCGCCGTTCATAAAGCCAAAGGAATCATAGAATAGTTTAAATACCATAAAACCATAGTCAGAAAACTTGCTTATGGGCCTCAGACGACAAGGAGAATTTCAGGCCTGAACGCAAAACTCGTAAGAAGCGCTAATGAGAAGCAAGCCTCATAAGAAGGCAAACAATCGAGCGTATTGTTAAGAAGGAATTATAATTCTTATTGGCTCAAGTGGCGCAACTTGGTCATCGTACCACTTATGATCCCCACCTCATCGTCAGACTACCAGCCTCTCGACTATATTGTGTATTTGTAGTGGGAAGTTAACAGCAGGACTTACAACACAAGAAGAGTCTCTCAAGGCAACCATCAGAGAAGCCATGGGAAACATTGACAGGGACGCTGTCGCCAAGGTCTACTTCAGCTTCTGATCCCGTCTTGAGAAAGTTCTGGACGCCCCGATAGTGGCCACAACCTAGTGATTTTTGTACCTTAAATATCTACCTAATTGTAAATATAGTATATATTAATTTGTTATATAAATAGCGCTGTTTTTATTATCCATTATTTCTTTCCGGATTTAACCGTTACAATATATATATATATATATATATATATATATATATATATATATATATATATGTGTGTGTGTCAGAGAGAGATAGTATGTGTGTTTATGTTTTAATCTCTATCTATAAAAGGCAGGATGTGTGTGTGTGTGTGTGTGTGTGTGTGTGTGTGTGTGTGTGTGTGTGTGTGTGTGTGTGTGTGTGTGTGTAACGAATGCATGCCCGCAATTTCCGACGCATTTGCAGCAAAATTTACATGCACATGATCCAAGTTAGCAGGAAGGCTAATACCGACATTGCATTTCCCAACTCCCATCGACAGTGGAAATAATCGATTTTTCATGCTTCTATGGCAGTTTTCATGTAGTTTACGGCCATTTTCTACTGGCCAGAGTGAGAGCCTATAGCTGGCTGCCACGAATAGGAAGGAAGATTCTATTGGCCAGCGTGAGAGCCAATAGCTGACTGACACGAATGTTAACTAGCATACAAAAAAAATCGATAGCTTCATTCGTCACAAGTGGGAAAAATTTAAATCTGCATGGGACTTTACTCCAATTGGCTCATTCGCTTGCTTAAACTCAACGTTGATTCTGATTCCGCAGAACTAGGTTGGGTGTGAAAAAGTATTTGTTGTTAACATTCTTTTTCATTCGGTTTTTCCAGTTACGAGTCCTTTTTTAAAACTGATCGTTTTGTGTTCATTTCTTTTTTCGTAACAGATTTAATGTTTAGTATAGAGCTTAGAAAAGATTCGCAGTGTGATAAAGGCAAGAAGCTAGGCATGTGGCAACATCAGCACGGCAAAGGGCACTCCTTTAAAGGCAAAGAAGGGAAAAAATATTTTAAGTGAAGTGATAGCGATTGCTGTATGAGCCTTACGATTTTTGAATCAAGCACGGGCAACGCCGGGCCATGCTGCTAGTTCGATATATTTTTTTACAAAGGTCATATTATTGTATACCCGTATTTGAGTATAGATTCCATTTCTCTAACAATGTTTTTTACAAGTGCGCAGGCCAGTAGACGAAATAAACACTGATAAAAAATACGGCTATCAATTAAAAATAACGTTTTAATATATATATATATATATATATATATATATATATATATATATATATATATATATATATATATATATATATATATATATATATATATATATATATATATATATATATATATATATATGCACATTTCATTTAATACGACTGACAAGGTGCTTTTATTTAGTTTTTTTTATACAATTTCTCATGTGATCGAATATTTTTTTTTCTTTTCGGATGATAAATTATATAAAAACTGTCCGAATATCCTTATTAACTTTGAACATGGACACAACATCTTGACTGTGTTTTGAAAAATGAAAACATATTATAAAACATACATACAACAAACTATTTCTTATATAACAGTTAAAATATTTAATCCTTGAAAATGGGTAAATGTATAGCCGAAAGCGCTCGGATAAAAAGAACATTCGGACAGTTTTTTTTTTCTTTTTCCTCGCTGTAGTTTGCCCTTATTTTCTGCGGTAGACTGGTTGCCAACCAAAGCTATAGGACTCAGGATCTTGCTATTCAACACATAGCTGGATAGATACCTTTCCCAAATGTATTTACGCGTAAGTGAATGTAACAAAGCCTTTGGAATTCAAACTCGGCTTATCAACCAGAGCCGTTACCCATTACACTATAACGCACATCTTAACCCTATACTAGCCAATCTAGTCATACGCTTAAATTCGTAAAATTTAGCCACCAAAAAGGAAAGCACATCAGAAAACTATCACAAAAATATTTATAGAAAATGTCCAAAGAATATATTGATTAAATAAAAATGTATTTTGATGTGTTTCTCCTTCACTAAAATACTGCATTTCACCCGAACAACAAAATAGACAGTAATCTATTCTTTCTTACATATGCTTATCAATATTTATTACCTGAGCTTAACTTATTATATTAGTACTGAGGAGAATAAGTGAACGTAATGAACTAGACTGGAATTCATATTCGGCATTCTGATTTCCCTTGCCGAGATGTTGTCTGTTAAAAGCTTACCGCGAAATCTCTTGTAACTGAATAAATTGATATATTATTACTTTATATTATTTCTAATATAGGTTTCTTGAAATTCTTTAATCAAATCTTTTCGCAATAAATGTTGTGAACTCCTCGACTGTTTCATACTTAACAATTTAATATTTTGCTTGCAATCGGTTTTATTGCTTCCCACAGATCTTATTTGCCTAAATGTACTTTTCTGTTCTATTGTACATCACTTTTCGTGACTAGCCACATGTTTCCTTTTTATAATTTTCATTTCATTGAATAATTACATCTTCAGTTCAAATTTTGATTTAATGTATATTTTATCAGAGATTGTCTGCAATGTTATTTTTTCAGCAGTACAATATTTTAGATAATTGTAACACTATAAGCATTTTGGCATTGATATGTATAAATGAGCCATACGACTATCCACTTCCGGAAGTCCAAGGTGACTAACGCAGGTTTAATTAACCGAACGAAATTTTTTGGTCGAGCAATACTTTCTCGCTCGTCGATCCGGTTTTCTTGTTTATCCTCTTTTTAATTTCTCTTATATCGATTTTTTTCACATTTCAAAGGTATTTTTCTTGTACCTATTTTTTCAATATTTCATCAATTTTTAACGTTCTGTTCCCGTCTGCCAAATAATTACCAACATTTTGTTCGTCTCGTGTGAGTACAGCTTTTATATGAACCATGACAATATATGAAATTAAAAAAATATATTACAAAATTACAATCACATAAACACTAGAGATCAAAAGTTTGAGGCCAAATCTGTTTTTTTTTTAAATTGCCCCCAAAGTATTTATTTTGTAATATAAGAGAAAATTGTTATATATGTTTTTTAAAAATAGTGAGACATAACTTTTATTAGAAAGTTTATTATGACAAATAGAAAAAGAATCATTATATGATTACATTTTATTCTCGTGAAGATAGTCTCCTTTATCTTTGATTACTGAAGCACAAATTATTGGCATACGTCGCAAAAGTTTTTTCACAATATAAGTTTGATACGTGATTACATTCTTTTTCAGTGACTCTAAGATCTCTTTTTCATTTATTTTTTTGCTCTTCTGTTAAATTCACTACATGCTAATTCTGGGGGTGGTTTCAAATTTTGGAACTACAGTGTACTATATACAATACGATTATTGGTTTGGTTTGGTATGGTTTGGTTTGGTTTCTCTTACAGCATATCAACCTCAATGGCTTATTTAATACCGAAAAAATTTATATTGCTGGTAATATCATTTTCTTCAAAAATATATTGCTGGTAATATTTTTTTTCAAAAATGTAAAGCAGGTAATTTGTTTTTCCAAAATGTATAACTGTTTTACTGCAGTCAACCTCAATGGGTTATTTAATACCGATAAAAATTTTATTGCTGCTAATTTTTTTTAAATGTATTTCTGGTAATTTTCTTTTTCAAAAATGTATTGCTGGTAATAATATTTCTTCAAAAATTTATTGCTGGAAATAATTTTTTTCAAAGTATTTCTTCTATTAAAACCTATTTTTACACTTTCATAGCGCTCTGACCCCAATTTGGGGGTTAACTATTTACCCATAGCTAGTACCCTAACAGCTGTTACCACCCCTGGACTTGGGAACACCAGCAATTAAGAGGTGGTTCCACGCCCCTCAAAACTTCCCGATCAGAGACCTTGCTGTTGGACCTAGTTTATCGTCTTACCCAGGACGCGGATTTCAGTTATCGTCATACCCAGGACTACACAATACGATGAATAACACACTAGACTGTTAATAAAATGTCACATTACCAAAAAAATATTTGTGTAAATATTTTAGATAAAACGAGATATTATGAACTGAAATAATCATGGATTATTTATCACATGAATAAA